ATTGCTTGCTTGCTTGCTTGCTTGCTTGCTTGCTTGCTTGCTTGCTTGCTTGCTTGCTTGCTTGCTTGCTTGCTTGCTTGCTTGCTTGCTTGCTTGCTTGCTTGTTGGTCTGTTTGTCTGTTTGTCTGTTTGTCTGTTTGTCTGTTTGTCTGTTTGTCTGTTTTTGTTTGTTTGTTTTGTTTGCTTTTTGTTTGTTTGTTTGCTTGCTTGTTTGTTTGTTTGCTTGCTTGCTTGCTTGTTTGTTTGTGTGGTTTGTTTGCTCTGTATGTTGGTTTGTTTGTTGGCTTGTTGATTTGTTGGTTTGTTGTGCATCTTGCTGTTTTGTTACGTATTGTGTTGTATGTGTGGTGCGGGTTTTGTTTCTTGCAATCAACCTGGAAAGGCAGGTTCTCGTTGTGCTTTTGAAGAATGAAGGGCACCGCAAAACGGGCCTGAAAGGGGGCTTGTTGGTCTTTCGTTGGTTGCAACCCCATTTTGGCAGCAAAACAATCCACCCACGCCTGGGTCGATGCGGTGGATGGCCGCTGACAGTGTGGGAAGTGGAAAAAGAACTCTTTGACTTTTGCAGGAGCGTGTCGCAGGGATTTCTGGGTCGACTTTTTGGAAGAGCGTGCGTGACCAAAGGAGGAGAGAAGTGGAACTTCAAAGGCCCAGAAGGCGAGCAAAGGATGACCCAGGGCACGGGATCATTCACTGCGACACACGTGTCGGCCTCCGGAAGTGCAGAGCATAGCTGTGTCTTCCGCATTCAATGTGGGCATGAAAACAAGTGGAATCAAACGAGTTTCAGCCTAGCCTCTGCCCCACAATTGTGCAGGTTTCCTTTCAAGATCGGCTGTTCTTCCCTCCGCAAGGCAGAAACAGGACAAGGGATGATGGCACATGGGCCAGATCGGTACCGGCACGAAGGATGCTTGTGCGGAGGATGTTCCTGATTCAGTGTGGGAACTCTGTTTGTTCTTACTCCCCTGTACCCTAGCATAGAACCCCGGAAAAAACGCCTGGTTTATAAGAGTCTTCTTGGTGGGGACTCCCTTCATGGGATCGCAGGGAGCAATCAGTGTTCTTCGAATCAGCTTTTGTTTCCTTCCATATCTCGCGCAGGTCTCGTGTCTACATGGATTTGTGCCTTTGTTGAGTGCCCTTCTTGAGGTGATTTAAAGAAACGCTAAGAGGTAGACCACCCATTTGGGTCTAAATCCCGCACTCCCCCAGACTATCACGGAAGCTCCCAGGAGGCCTCTGTAAATGGTCACCAAGTCTTCCAAAGGGGTGCTGGGAGCTTCCATGGCATCGTTTGGGGGAAGGTAGCCCATAGCCATGGGTCAAAATCCTAAAATAGGTTCTAAAATGGGTGCACCTACCCCAAAATGGGATCCCATCGGTTTTGATAACCACAACCACATAGCCATGCAGGCCGGCCTCTGGGCGGACGTGGAGTTCGTGTCCTGCCCCGACTGCGGGCTGAAGCTCATGGAGGACTCACGTTGCGAGGTGGCGAGGCGTTGCCGGGGGGCTATATATGATAGGATATGTGTCAAAATCGGGGACACACCCAAAATGGAGCTGTCATTTTGGTGTCCCTTTAAACCACCACCCTCAAAACAAACCCACAATATATATATATATATATATAGATATATATATGTATATATAAATGTATAAATTGTATATATATATATATGCGGAATCTCCTGTTGGGATCTCACCACCTATTTGTGCTTCATGTTGATTTGCAAGCGTTTGTGCATGACCCCTTGTTAGGACCCTTGTCCGTTGATTGCAATCAACCCAACAGGGCTTTTCAGGCCATGTACGATATGGTTGTATGCAAGTCTGGGCCCCCTTTTTGACATTTCCGGGGACAGAATTGTGTCGTGATGTCACATTTGAAGGTTTAGTAGATATGGACCAGAAAATAAAAACGCCTTCTTTTAAGAACAGCTGAGAAGGCTTGCAGGGGCTCCTGATTTTGCTTGCGCTAAGCGTCTTACGACCAAATGAATCGATGCTTCAAGGGGCTGTTTTTTGCTTGATGGGACAATGTATAGCCTAGTTCAGCTTGTCACAACCTTTTGCAGAGGTGTCCTTAAGAAACCAGTGTGGTAGGCGTGTAGGAATGCCAACCGGATGCCAACTGGCATGTGTCATTTTACTGCAATGCTCCCCCAAAAAGAAGCACCAGAAAAGTGTCCAAGGACTAAAGATAGTTGATGTGTCATTGCTTCCAATTTTACCAGACCCCCTCCCCTTCCTGCAGCCCCTCCCCAAAAAACTACGGGTCACAACTCCTCCGGCGCCTTCGTAGGACTGGGTGGTCCTGGCACGGGGGGGCGCCACACGCAGCCTGAAGCGCTCCGGCGGCATCGTTTCGCCGGCGCCCCGGGAGCTGCAACTGCTGGCGGCGGAGTGCAACCTGTCCCTCGCATGCGTGGAGTTCGGTAGCCGGGGAGGGGAGGGTTGCATTTGGGTGGCGAGTTGTCCAAAGTGGGACAACCCAAGATGGCTTCGCTGTTTGTCGCTTTTATTTCGGGGGGAGGGGGGGCCTTTGTTTGACCAGACTGGCCATTTCTTCCAATCAAACCTCAATCCTTGGGCCAGATGGTAGTTGTTTCCGTTGTGGTAATGTTTTACTACGGATGACGGATGTGAAATACGGATCCCCCCATTCTGAACGACTCATGAAGGGAAGTCGGGAAGTTTTGGAGACGAAAACTATGTTTGAGAATGTCTTCCTTGACCGTTGCACACGGTGTTCGAAGCCAACAATCCGCTTGTTCTTGTTTTGGGCTGATCTCAAGGGCATAGATGACTTGTCCAGGGTTGCCGTTCCTGGTATGACTCGCGTGTGCTTGAGTGCGGCAGATACAGCGGACCCTTGACCGTTGGGTATCAGAAAATGGCATGGCAACCTTGATAGTTTAGGATGTTGGGGTGTTTCAATTTGTCATAATGTGTGCATGTGTTTGCAAAATTGTCATGTGATATCTTAGGACAGAAAGGGTGGGTTCAGACTGAAGTGTTCAACATGCGCGGATTGGTCACCAGGGTGTTGCCCGAAATCCTACTGACTGGTTTTGGGATCTGTTGCAAGTTGCCGGCGGGCGTCACTATGTTCGTGAGTTCTGCAAAGCAGTGCACAAATGAACCCAGTGGTTTAAGGACACCCTTTTCCCTTTTCGTTGGGTTCCCCGCTAAAAACAACCCAAAAAAGGCGTCCCCCCTCTTTTCTACCTTGCTGCTCCCCTGTGGGCGATCGCTCAAGACATTGGGGTGTCACGCACTGCTTCTCTCCAAGGGGGGGAATGGTTTCTGGTTGCAACTGGGACAAGCATGTTCTCAAATCACTTGAATTGGCATGTTTTGCTCAGCAGCCTGTTTATTCTTCTTTATTGGCTGTGGGTTTCCCAACCTCAGCCAACGGGCAGAGCCCAGTGCAACCACTAAGTAACCACACAATGCTTCAGGGGACTACCCCTGGTCATGGTTCCTTCCAGCACAACCGTGACCACGGCCCAAGGAGTGTTAACCATAACACCAATGGCATCCATGTCCATTTGGCCTCCCTGTAAAAACAAACCAAACACCTGAACAAAAAGGATGAGAAGTCCCCCAAAAGGCGCACACTCCCTGATTGGAATCCAGTCTTCCAAAGGGGTCCTGGGAGCTTCCATGTTAACCTGGGGGAGGGTACATTCCCAAATGTGTCTGTGTGTGTGTGTTAAAATAGCGGCGACCCCGAACATGGTGGCATTCCTTTTGCTCTTTCAAAGAGACCAGGAAGGAGCCAGCTTCCAAAAGACTAGACATCCGTAGACGTTTTCTCTCAGGATGCGGTGGCGCACAACCCGCGGCTTGGTGGACGAGACGCGGTGGAACCAGCTCCTTAGATCAACCTTGCGCGTTCCATGTGCCGACTTTACTGGAGGTTCATTCAACCTGGCGAAATAGGGTGGTCCCCAAAACCAGGGAAGGGTTCCCTCTTCAATGATGTCCTGCTTTGTCTCTGGCTCACTTGGGAGGGACATGGATGGACAAGCTCTAAATTCCCTGCAAAGAGCAGGGGACTCACTTCGTCAGTTTGATCGTTGCTCATGTGTCTACTTGTGGGATGGTCCCACCAGAGTTTTGACAGACCTCGACTGGAAACTGAACAGGTAATTGGCTTTGGTTTTTTAGCACATGTTCCTTTTGCTTTCCATGTCTTGTTTTTCCTTCCTTTGCTGTCCCTTTCAAACTGGAGACACCTGTTGTCATGACACCAGCTCTGCCTTTGTTTTACAGAGGTTCGTGCAGTACGTTCGCCGCTCTGTGGAGCACTTCGGCCTCACCAGCACGCGCCACGCCTGGCCGGACGAGAAGAACCGGGTCGCGGCGCGGCGGCTGCAATACACTCGCCTGGACTACTGAGCTGCAACCGGGGATCTCGTGGCCGGCCATCGGGTTGCAACCAGAGGCCTCGTTCCGACGTGTGTTTTTTGCAGTGGGAGGAGATGTCCTTTAAGCACGGCCGAAAAAGTGAGTTTCTCTTGGAGGAGTGCTTCCTTTTTTGGCGGTAAATGGTGCGTGGTTTCTTTCAAATCAAGAATCTCGGACAAGTCTTCCAAGAAGCCTCTGCTTGCCAGGTGGGTTTGTCTCAAAATCGAGAATCCAAAAAAAGGATGGTGGGTGGTTGCCTTTGGCTTTCCCTTTGAAATTCCCCAAAAAAAGTACCTTCATAAAAGGAGACACCCAGGTGAGTCAAATCCGAGTCTAAGGCCCACCTCCGGGCGCAAACGGTCGTGGCCCTCCAAGCAGCAAGGACCTCGAACGGAGGGGCGGAGATCACGGAGGACGCGGACAGAGCGGTGAGATACGCGCAGAAAAGTGAGGAAAAGTGGGAAAAGGGATGTGCTTGGTTCTCAACAATATATAAGGGTTGTGATAATTGCTCTGGTTGGATCCCTGAGCGAAGGGAACCAAAGATGGAGCGCGCGGGGGTCGGTCTCTCACTCCCTGAGAGCCAGAAAGCAAAAGGTGCGGCAGAGGCCCGAGGCTCTGTTGCCATGTGTTTGCCTTGGCAGTGAATCGACACACATGTTGACGTGGGAGAAACCACCAAGTGGGAAACGGCTGCCACGGACCATCTGGCAGGCAGCATCAATCTAAATGTAGAAATGTGGATGTTGAAGTGGCAAAGGAGCCTAAAAGTGTTGTTGGATTGTTACCGTCATTGTGTTCTAAAGGTCAGTGTTCAAACATGATTGGTGTTCTTTGCCTAACCATATACAAGTATTTTCTTTCCAAAGAACTGCTTTTAGTGAGGGTTCTTCCAAATCTAACTAACAGCAATGTTTAGCCTGACCCTTCCAAGCTGTTGCCATTACACAGATGTCCATGTGCCGGCCGCCCAAAAGAAAAACATAAATCCAGACCGGCTTACGAGTGGACGGTGCTAGGCAGCCCATATTTTGATTTGTCCCCTTTTGGTTTTCCTGGTGTGGTCCATATTTAGTCAAAGTCCCAAAAGGTTAGCCTTTTATTTCCAGGTCCTTTGGGCAAGTGAGACAATGGACGGTTTTGTTCCAGACCGATTCAAGCGGCGCCGAGTTCGGCCGATTCGCACGCCTTATCAGCATCAGTGTAGAGATTCGGGATTTTTTCCCGGCACGCCGGCAGTCCGTCGTTTGGCACTCGGCCGCAGTGCATTGAGACGAGTGCCAAGCGGTTTGCGGAGTTTTCCCCTTGGGTTGCGGAAGAACTTGTTCTCTTTAGTTATTCCCAGATGGAGAAGCTGGATGCAGTATGCTTGGGGAACTTATCCATTCTGAAAACAGAAATGCTTCTTTGCAGGAAAGGGCCAATAAAACTTAGACACACGGAAGGATGTGTGATTGAAAAGAGCAATGGTTGAACAGAATGGCGAACCAACCCTACTCTAGCGAGCTCTGGGGTAATGTGGTGAGATGTGGCGCATTTTGATAGGGCGCATCTTGATGTGCCTGGCATAGCAGGTGTTGGAGGGCCCTGGGCATTCCGGCAGCTGCATTGCCCGAGGAAAACCCTGCAAAGAACCTCCCTGCACCCTGGGAGTGCACAGAAGCCCCGGAGCGCAGAGTGCAGCAACTCTATGGGGTTCAAAGGCTCCGTTTCAAGAAGATCCCTCCTGCCAGCCACCATGGTTGTTGGAGCCAAGGCAGTTTCGGAAGCTTCCTGCTTCGATTGAAGGCCTAGAGGGTGTCTTCACCGAAGGAAATCTGTGCAATCTGGACTTTGCTTTCGACGCAAGTCCACTTTTAAGATCCAAAAAACGTGAACCTTTGCCATCCCAGTTTTGATTCATGGAGTTTTGGGGAGGGTAAACTGGTTGGCTTTCAATTGAGTAGGAAATGGATGGCCATTTTACGAAGCACATGAGCCAGTTTGGAAGGTGTCCAAGCAGCCGCCAGTTCATTTTGCCCGCTGGGCCGAGAGTTGCACTCGGCCCAGATGGTGATTTTGGACGTGAAGCGCTCGGAGAAGAAGAATGAGTTCCTCTACGAGACCAGCGTCAAGGCAGGCGACCCTGATCCCTGCCTTTACGGCTTGCTTGCTGGGTTTCAGCGGAAACCCGCCAGTTTGCGCTGCTATGTGTGAAAGCTACCTGGACCTTCCAAATGGATGAAACAAATCTTGCTTTACAAGGTCCTAGAACAGGCCGGAGCCTCCCTGCCTCAACCAGCCCTGAGACACTGGTTGGAATGAATGCAAAGCGTTCAAAGACACGCACCCCGTGACCACTTGGAGGATCGTTCGTGAAAGCTATGGGCAGAGAATGGCAACTCCAGGGATGTTTTGACCTGCACCCGGGAGCTTGGGAGTTTCTTATTTCTGTTTTCAGGTTGGTGAATCTTGTTGTCTTACCGTCACACGGCAACTTGTACTGCCCTCCTGCACTCACAAGTTGTGGGCCTGTGTGGCGTCTTGGAATGTCACATACCCTTGCCGGATTCGCACCAATTGGGCGGTTTTAAACCTTCACCAAAGCCATGACCCAGGAGGTCTCCTTGCTCCAAGTGCCGACACGGAGCAGTCCTTTCGAGTGCCGAAGGTGACAACCATTTGTGAAACGTGTGTGTGTTTGGTGTAAACAAATGTAATGTCCGCTTTAGAGGCTCGCGCCTGGTGATCGCCGTTTTGGGCTCGCATCATGTGGTGGATGGCTCATTTGGTTGCAAAGGCTTTTCAATGTGTCGCATTCAAAGGAACGGCAATGATCTAAACACCAGCCCCTTCCTGTAGTTACCTGTATATCATGAATGTGTTCCAGACTTGCAATCGGGGTCCTTGTTCTTTCTTGCCACGTCTCCAGACGAACATCGGGGAGCTGTTGAAAGAGCTCTGTGAGCTTCACAATCTGAGGCCGTGCAGCCGCTCATGGCCGCTCGAGGGTCCGGAGTCTGTCCATACAAGCTCACGTGGTGAAAGCACAATGCCTGGAAGACTTGGTGAAGTGCAAAAAAACTGGGTATCTGCAAGTAGTGAAGCATATCACGGGCTGGGGCTGGTCGCGGTAGCCGAAGAGTTTGGCTTCGCAGATGCGAAGATTCTAGTTTCTGGGGGTTGAGTCCGTTGGTTGGGCTTGCGACAGGTGCAGATGATGATGATGATGATGATGATGATGATGATGATGATGATGATGATGATGATGAAGGGGGCACGGTGGTGTTGGGTGATGGTGATGTGAGCCGTTTCCGGGTTTTGGATCTGTCCGCATCAAACTGGGTCTTGCCATGTGTTGATTCCATCCAGTCCTGGCAACCAATTTCCCCGGTCCCCATTGCCGAAGGCTGAAAGTGCAGCGGCTGTCGATGGCGTGCAAGGCGACGACCCGACAGTCGCATTTGACAGGATGTTTTGGTAAACCGAAGAGAGAGTCAGTCAGCAAAGTACTATCCACTTTGTTCGTAAGTACCCTCAAAAAACGTCATGCGAGTTGTTTAGTGCTTGTGGCGTCCACCCTTGTTTTCCTCCCAGAATCATGGAAGTTGGCAAGAGGGGCTTGGAAAACAACCTCTTCTTCACTTGTTGGGGGTTGAACAGCCTTCAGAAATGAGGTCTGGGGGAGAGCTTTGGAAGACCATCAAACTCTCACAAGTCTTGTTGTTGCTGGGGAGCATCATGGATAATTGCAAGAATGAATAGACATCCTATAAGGGCTATGGCATTTGTATGGCGCGAGTTTTGAAAGCAGCAAGTCAAGGACCATTTGCCACGCTGATTTCAGTGCTCTGTGAATTTGTGAAGTAGGGATGACGCAGCCTAAATGGCAATATCTTTCATAGTGAGCCACCTCAAAAGCGGCCGCCCGACATGGACCCACAAAGCATGGGCCCCCAATTGAAATTCATGCCGTATTGGCTCGTTACAACCAGCTTACCACGAGAAAGTCCATCGTGAGATTGGTCCTTTTCAGACTCGGGACCGCCATGTTTCCTCTCTGTGTAACTGCTGACGAGTTGTTGCGGCCTGTTCAACATCTTCACTTCAAAAGGGTGGCACATGGTTGCTCTTTTCTGCATATCGTGTGTATGTTGGGTTCAACACAACCCATAGTCGTTAGTTTCACTTGAGAACGGAAACCTGTTTCAATCCGCCCTATACAAGGCAATCATGGTGGTGTTGTTCTCCCGGCCTGGGGCAAATAAGACGGGAATGCAGAGGTTTATGTGTTTTTTTCCACGCTCCCCTCTCAGACTCAATTCCGATGCTGACATGGGGCCCGATTTTTCCCAGGAGCTGGCGAAGCACGGCCCACTCCGACCCGAAGAGACGCGTGGCATCTCTGAGGCTGGGAAAGCGCATCGAGAGCGGCAGTCCCTCCAAACCCCTCCTGTCGCAAAGGCGGAGTACCCATATGAAGCCACAACTAAGTAGTGTCCCTGGCGCATATGTTGGGTCCTGCAATTGCAACTTTAAGACTTTGCCATCGGTTCGCCAAAGTTGGGCATGCTATTGGATTCCTTCCCCCCCAATAGTGAGCTTCAATTTCCTTAATTTGATTTTATCAACGATGTTAGTCTTACCCAGTTCAAATTAATAATCATGCCCCCCCGCCCGCCCCCGCCCTTCCGTAGTTGGACCACCGCCCACAGCCGCCCGTGGGACGAACTCCATTTTTTGGTGTTTTTTTGTGTTTGAACTCAATTTTTTCCGCTTTTTTTGGTGTGGTTGAGGGGGGAGGTGGGGGTGGGGGGGGGATGATTGCGTCACTTCTTTGAGTTTGCTTGACAAAAACTTCTTTATTTCCTGTTTCTGTGGGGTGTGTGGCGTTCTTTGTTAGTGTGCTGAGCTGTCTTGTTTGCTTTAGCTTCTTATGCCCAAGCCATGGTGTCAGAAGACGTTCGTCTAGCGTTTGGCTGGCGTCTCGCATTGCTTCTCCACACACTCGGTGCTGGGTCCTTTCTTCACTGTCTGGCTGCCTTACTTGGACTCTTTTCTGGACGTCGCGTCCCAACCAGCGGACCCCATCTCGTCCTTTGTGTCTGCTGTCATTGTATGCCCACATAGGTTTCCGCTTGACTTTTCGGCTTTAGGCGCCTACGTTCCTTGCTTGTGGTCCACCTGGTGTGCATCCTGGAGTCGTCATCTGCTGCGCCCTTGCTCTGCTTCCATCGGCGTGGTTGGGTCTTGTCTCGTCGCTTGTCTGGCCTACATCTCATGCCTGCGCAGGACTAAGGACCCCTCACCCCCGTCGGCTTTTGAAAAGAGAGTTCATCATGCGGTTCCCAGGCAACATGCGGTCTTGAACATGCCAGTATGTTGCCTGCAACCGAAAAACCAACAAAGAGTTTTGGGGTATTAGCCTTGGGGTGAAGAACAGACTAAGGACCCCTCACCCCCGTCGGTTTTTGAAAAGAGAGTTCATCATGCGGTTCCCAGGCAACATGCGGTCTTGAACATGCCAGTATGTTGCCTGCAACCGAAAAACCGACAAAGAGTTTTGGGGTATTAGCCTTGAGGCGAAGAACAGACTAAGGACCCCTCACCCGCGTCCATGCGATTCCCAAGCAACATGCGGTCTTGAACATGCCAAAATCCTTGACAAACGATAGTTGGGGGCTGGAAAAGAAAATGAGCTTCTGAAAGCAGCGTGCCAGTGGGATTTGGGAACGCAAGAAATTCCCCACTGTCTCGGCCATTTAACATGAGGGACAAAATCCTTGAAACGCGATAGTTGGGGGCTGGAAAAATGAGCTTCTGAAAGCAGCGTGCCAGTGGGATTCGGGAACGCAAGAAATTCCCCACTGTCTCGGCGCTTTTTACATGAGGGAAAGACGGGGCTTTCCTTTCCCCCCTGTAATCGCAGCTTCGACAAGGTGCTCCGAAGCCAAAAAACGCACGATATTACGCGGGCTACTACGGGCGGTGTACCTAGTATCTGTAGTCTTCCCTCAAACATGGATCGGCTCGATATGAAGCATAATCAAAACCCGGGCAAGTGAAGATTACTCAGGGGCTGTCTCTTTTCTCTTTTCCGTACATAAGCGGCGCAGACATCTGCCCGTCTGAGTCTTTACATTGTTTTAACTAGGATTGTGGCTTATTTGAACCTCCATCAGGAGTGCTCATAAAATGGTCTTTGGATCTTTTGGCTGTTGGATATTGAACCTCAAGGCTATCGATTGTTTGCTTGCGCAGGAATGCGCTTGTGTCGCGCTAGGAGCTGAGCAAGCACACAGAGCTTGACGTGAACGCGTATGGAAAGCCGACGAGCGATGGCCCTAGTCGACATTCATGTTGAATTGATTCAAGGTAAGTCTTTGCTTTGCTGGCCCACGTGATATCACAGCGTGATACTTGGATGGACGACATCCTGTCTGGATGAACCTTTGCAAATAGTAAGACAAACCACCTGCGGACATGCTCCGGAAATCGGATTTTGTCCATCAATATCGCGGCCCTTCTGGGTGCGAAAGATCATTGTGTTTCGTTCAAGCCTTGCTTCAAGAGGGGAACCCCCCAGCGTCAGGCGAGCTGTAACGCCCGCAGCTCGGGCAACCCATTTTGGGAGCAGCTCAGGACCAGACGAGTCGGGGTACCGAACCGGTGTGCCGCCACCTCCCGAGGTGGGGTCGGAGGGGGGGGGAGAGGGCGACCGCTGATATTTGATTTGAGGTTTGCCTTCCACGACCGCGTGTAGCTTCTCTAAGCCGCAGAGTACATGATATGTGCACATACGTTCCTAAAGAATATGTACATAGGCACACATGCAGGCATACCTCATATTGTGCATATATATATATATGTATATACATATATATCTACAGCCACACATCAGCGATCATGAGATGTATACAGATCACTAGACCAGTCTTTCATACTGTGGATGGACAAGTTCCGCTTCTCCCCAGTTGCAAGGAGTTCATTTGGATAACCATCTACCAGCTGATGCGTGGACTTTTGTCCACAGAGTAAGTTCCAGTATGCGAGTAAGTTCCATTGTCTATCTATCATGTATTTGTTAAAAGTAATACTGGGTTTGCATTGGGTTTTGCCCTCCCGTCCGCTAACATGGAACCTGACTGAGGGCTCCTCCAAGACCATTCGCCTTTAAACGGGACCCTCTGGTGGGTTCCATTTGAAAAACATCACATTAGAATTTGGGTTTTTGCAACAGCCCCTTCCTCTCCCCGTGTCTCCATTCTGCAACCTGGGCCGTTGAAGCGCCAATAAACGCTTGCGGAATGGGTTAGGTGGCGGACGTGCTGTCCAGAACTGCGGAGGAAGCCTTCGCCGTGGCCCAAAAAACGAGCGTCCAAACGGGAGACCATAGGGAAAAGGCCATGGTCCTTGGAAGTTTTTGGGTGTCTCTTTTTTTGAGGGTACCCTTTTTGGGGTGGTTTCAAGAAAAACCAAAAGGAAACCACCCATTTTGGGGGGTTGCCCTATTTTGGAGACAAACCCATGTATCGGAAGCGATTTCTTTGAGGGGCCTTGTCTTTTTCGGGCTACCTTTTGAGGTCTCCGTCGTTTTGAAGGCAAAGTGTAGCATGGGCTCCCTAAAAGACAAACAAATAAGTGGCCAAGCACCCTTAGCTGTTTGATTCGGAGCTTTTGACGTGAGTCTTCCAAAATGAGATGGCAGGGATCAGGGATGTCCGTTCCGGTGAGAATGCTCGGATGAATCTTTCTACGATCCGGTTGGAAGAGTTTTTAGCTGTTTTCTTTTGGGTGGACTCAACAGCCTTAGGGCTTACCCCTGGCAGGACTGTGCCAAAGAACCTCCAACGTATGAGAAGCCCTCAAGGCTTATACAAAGCGTAAGAAGCGTGTCTGGCAGTTGAATCCCTGCGGAAGGCCTTGTGTATTGGATGACTTTTCTCTCCTAAGGGAACCCTTTCTGCTTGCGATGTGTCTTTCTGTTTTTTCGGCAGGACTACCTCGGTGGGCTTTCGACCAACAAAAGACTGCCCGATGCATCTCTAGTAATTCTTGCCTTGGGCGACAGGGGTCCCCCTTGCAGTAGCATGCTTCCGCGGAGAAGCGAAATTGGGCTTGTCAAAGCCTTCATTCTGAACAGCCCTAGGTGTTTTCCCATGATCCACAATCAGCACGGCAGATGAAGCTAGGGGGAACCAACAGGTGCGGCCGCTCTGATGCCCAACAAATTTGAGACCACTTTACCAGGTTTTGATGCGCCTCACATGGCACGCAAAGGCGGCCGTGGCCGCTGAGTTGGTGCAGCAGAAGAGGTCCTTGGACAAGAAGGCCGTCTCATGATTCGTCTCGTGGGCAAAAGGGCCTTACATGGGTTCCAAACCGGGTTTCCTCTAAATGGCGGGGGGGGGGGGGTGGTAAATGGCGGGGATTGGGGGGGGTAAATGCCAACAGAAGGGTGTCCTCTTGGGTTCCCGGCAAAACTCCCCTGAAAAGAGAGCCCACGAATGCAAGCAACTGGACAGCCTTTGGAGCCTGGGAATTTTCGACGCACGGCATGATTTCTCTTGGATTTTGCGCGAACAATGTTGTGCAGGCTCGCGGGCACATTCTATTTCGCAGAGCAGTGGTTTGTGTGAACTATGAATCTTTGCACATGTGCATAGCATATTCTCCGGATTCCAGCCACACGAACCTAGCTGAGTTTGCCCGTCCTTTTGTGACTAGAGCTAATTGGGCAAAGCATCGGGGAGGCAAAGGCAGCTCGTGCCGTGCCGCAAGGTTTGCCAGACGCACATCGACAACATGCGTGGTGCTGTCATGTGCCTCGGCGAGCTGTGAAAGGCGTGAAGGCGCCTCCCATGGGAGGTGACATGTGTTCGGGTCTATAAATTCCACATGGAACAGCACCTCTACCGGCGTTTATGGGTATCGAAGCGCGGGGAAAGGCTTGAACGATTGCTTGCGCCGAGCTGAGGATTGCCTATCCAGCATTTCATAGATTGCCGGTCTATGTGGGGAGCTCAGTGTTTGTCAGAGGCAGAATCGCGTTGATCAGAATTCCCTTCCGGTCCAACATGGATGCCCAGGGGGGCACAATGGATTCCAAGGTTGTCATATGGGGTTTAGCTCCCAGTCAGAGCTGAAACCCTTGTAAATGGTTTCTACGGGTGAAAAAGAACTGGCCTCTGGCAGGGTTAGAAACTCCCCAAGAAAATCGGGCAGAAAGCGTCCCGTTGTTCGCCGGCTAAAAATCGATGGATGGCCAACAACCGGGGATATGCCAACCCCTTATTACAACATGTTTAAACCTCCATTGTCTCAGCAACCTCCTTTTGGTTCCCAATTGAAAAGGCACCAAATCGGGTCTGGCTCTTGTTCGCGTTTTGCCAACCTGCCGTGGATCTTCATGATATCCTGCCATAGGATCCACTCCTAGCTGGTTCTTGGGGAATCAGTTTTTGGAGTTCACCAAAGGATCACTGGGAAACAATTCTTCCAGGTAGCTTTTGCCGGGATGATTAAGAAGAACCCTCGAACCAACAAGCTCAACAAAGCAACCTGAGGTCGTAGGTGGCTAAAACAGCCGGGACCAGAAATGCCTCAAACCAACAAGCCCAACAAAACAGCCTGAGGACCAAACCAAGCCTACCCACTGAAACCAAGCCCCTTCTCTCATTCACATCAAAAGAAGCTGAGGACCCGGTGCGGCAAGAGCTGGAGGACCGGGAGGAGTTGGACGGCGCCTCGGAGCTGCAGTGCGTGCCCGGCGCCCAGGGATCGAGGAAACTCTTCGGTCGAAGCCATCGGGAACCCACCGAAACGGGAACGAAAGGGGAAAAACGGGAACGAGTTTGATGAGGGGTACTGTTCAATGTTTGTGCTTTATAGGTATGAGCTTCTTGTCCTGGCAATATATATACGTAGTTCATGTATATATATATATATATATATGTATACATATATACATATATGTATATATATATATACACATGTACCTATACATATGCATATGGTGCATATGGTTCAGGTCAGGCAAGCATTGGCTACTACAAGTCCTAGTTTGAACCACACGGGGGGAGTGCGCGTCGTGGATTCAAGCCTGTCCCCGAGCTCGAAGCCCGTAAGGCCAAGTTGCCAAGGGGAAGCAAGCAATGAGTCCAGCTTCAGGAGGCATGCGTGCTGAGTCCCCGAGGCTGGAGCCTTCAGACACAAACATCTGGTGGGCAGGCAAAGAGCTCAGGACCGGAGCTGGTTTTGGGATCGGGAGCCTATCAAAACGCGTCAGGTGTATCTAAGGTTTCTCTCAACACTAGCCCAAAAGGGGCTCCCAAGTGCTGAGACATGTGCAAATGTTTGGTTTTCTGGTTTTGGCACATTCCAAAGTGGTCAGGAGCCCCCAAATTGCTGGACCTCAAACTTTGGCACATTCCAAAGTGGTCAGGAGCCCCCAAATTGCTGGACCTCAAACAACCCGTTTTGTTGGCACCCGGTAGAAGAATCACACTTCCGTAGATTGGCCACAGACAGAACTCAAGCAGAGTCTCTTGGAAGCTCCGACATTGGTTGCCCGTTGAGTTGTTACAGGTTGTTTGGTTTGGGTGTTTCCAAACACCAGGCACCCCTCGTAAACTCACGAGTTGGAGCCCATGTTGGCAAAAAAGAAATGTGACGCAACAAGCGGAGGCAGACGTTGCTTCGCAAGTGAAAGCAGGCAACTTGCTTGCCCGAATCCTTCAGTGGTCTCCAGGGAGTTGCAAGGGCGGCTGTCCGGGACACTGGTGTTCAGAAGGGCAACGACGGGCAAATATCCCAGTTGAGTTGAAGCAAGTTAGCCTTATCTGGTCCAGTTCGAACATCAATCTGAGCTAAGCCCATATGGCCCATAGCCATTCGTACAAGGGGCTGTACTCCAAAAAGTATGGGGCTTTCCTATTCGGAGACGACAGGTGAAGCCGACACTCTCTGCAGGACGGATCAGACCTTGGAGCAGTACGTGGGTAAGAATGCCCGGCCCTCATACCTCTGCCTATGAGCTCACCCACATGCTCACCTGATGAAACGAGCTACCATGATAACCGGGCAATGACCAAAAAGGGAGCGTCAGGTTTGGTCAGGGGAAGCACGTGCAAGATAAATCTTTTGACTGGAAATGATGTGTACGAGCATGGGGCCCATGTTGTGGGGCATGGCTGGGAAATGAAAATTGTATGTATTTATTATATATACATATATGTATATATGTACGCATTGAGATGATACTGCAAATCATACGATTCCTACAACAAGGCCACAATGCAGCGACCCTCAATGCTTAAAGACATTTCGCTGAATTGCTTGAAGGACTCAGCTTTGATTTGGATTGTCCCTGCTTGGTGGGGGTTGCTGGGTTCGGGCTCTGGAATTTTGGGGCTCGGGTCGCGTTCAGTTTGGGGCCTGTGTGTTCGTCGGTTGGGGTATTGAGATGTGTTGGTTTTGGTTTCGCGTTTGGATTTTTCCCGAGACTGGGGCCTTCCAGGCTCCCCGGCTTTCGGGCTTGGTTTTCTGCTTCGGGTTGTTTGGTTTTCCCTTTTCCTTGCCTTTTCCCTGTCCTTTTTGTTGTTTGGTTTTTTGTTCCCTGTTTTCTGGTTGTTTGGTTCTTTGTTTTGTTTGCTCTTGAGTTTTTGTTTGTTTCTTTCCTTTGTGGGGGTGCATAGGGCGAAGTGGCAAAGTCTGAGGAGAAGACCAAGATCGTGGCAAAGCTGGCCCCAAAGAACGCCGGCGCGCCGGTTCGGGAGCCTCGCATCGATGAGAACACCCACAAGGCGCCGCGCGTTTCGCCGGCCGCGTCGAACGGGTTGGCTTTTCCACTCAGGTGGTTGTATTTTGGGTGGGTCTTAGAATAGGGAGACCCAGAAAAAAATGGGGTTGTCCCTGTGGTTTCGCTTTTGAATCGCCCCACAAAGGGGTTACCCTGAAAAAGAGGCGTTGTCTCTGAATGTGGCTTCCCTTTAAAGCCCGACAAAGGGGACAGAACTTAGAACTTCAGACATAAACAGACCTGAGTTGCAACAAATTCGCATCGACCGGATCACTGATTTGGCTAGACCAGGTCTGACAAGCAGGGTCGGGCCATCCCCTTGTCAAGAGATGTTCAAGCCCCTTGGCACGACCTTTTGGTGTCCATTTCAAGTGAACCATCCGGTTGTCAACCCTACCAGGCGATGATGGCACATTACTACCGGAAGCAGGAAGAACAGAAGAAGCTGCAGGCATGATGCTGCAATGCTCGCGCAAGCCATTCGCGGGTCGCTGAACACTCGGGGGGGAGGGCCAAAAATGGCATCGTTGGATGGGGTTTCGAGTGGACACCAAAAGGAAAACATCAATTTGGAGGTGTCCCACTTTCAGACAGTCCCATTTGCAAGTAGAAAAGAGTTGCGTGATCCCCCCGGCGAACAAATCTCGAACGAGGGGCTTGAAACTTGCACACGGGCCTTCTCTGTGCACAATCACACACACAAGTTTGTTGGCTGTCACAGCACAGCCATGCCACAGAGAATCACAGTTGCAGTTCGTGTCTTGAGGGTACCCTTTTAAACTTGGTGTAAAGGGGAACCAAAAGGAGAACCATTTCTCTTGCTTTTTTTATTTTTGTTTCTGTTTGGGGGGAGGGGCGGGGGGGGGGGGTGAGGCCCACTGCCCCAGGTGCCTATCCCCGGAGGGAACTGGAACCCTGTGGTAGTTGAGGTCGTTGTTGGTTTTGAATCTATTCCGGAGAGAGTCCAATATGCCAATAATGGATGATTGGAGGATGGATTGTCCCTGGTGGATTGTCTTGTGGATAATCCTGTAAGCGGCCTGCAATGGCTCTTTTGTCCTCACGCTCGAATAGTCGTGATTATGCAAAAGGGGCCTTGAGCCAAATGTTGCGGGAGATCAATCTGTGCGAAAACAACACAAAAACAGACACAAATTTCTTTTGATCTCCAGCACAAAGTATGAAATACTATTGGCTTCATGGCCTTTGACCGTAGCCTTAATTGTGTGCCGTAGCCATGTGATTAAAAGAGCCGGATTCATCCTTTTTCTGCTGGATGAAATGTCTTGGCCTTCGAAATGGGAAATACTATGTACGCTTCTTTTTGGATACCTAATTGTATCAAAGGGTGATGTACAACGCTACGTACACGCGGAACAATTGTGAAACTATTGATCACTCACTCATGGTATAGTCTTGTAGACGAGGAGGATCAATCATCTGGATCGCTCGTGGTGCTGAACGTATCTTCATGGTCAGTCGGATCGACGATACCATCGGCGACTGCTGTCAGATTGACTGCCATGGTCTCCATAATCATTCCAGGTCGAACTGCTGTAGTCCTTCCACTGCTTCTGATATCCCCACTGCTTGTTGTAGTCCTTGTACTCCTGCGTGGTCCAGGATTGTCTCTTCTTGACGTAATCCTGGTATCTCTCAGAGCTGCGTTTGCTGGTTGCAAGATCTGCTGCGGATGTAAACCATGAGAGGACTGTGGGAGTCGGAGTCCTGCGAGCCGTTCATGAACATTTCATTGCTCACGTGCTTGTAGCGCTCTGCGGATGAGACCTGGTAATCGAAAATGGCCTTGTTCGGATGGTTCCGCATGAATTCCAGTTGTTCATCATTCATATTGTTCATCTCGATCTTCCGGAAGTCCTGCTGGATGTTCGTTTTGCCCCATCCAAATACGATAGTCATCATCACATCTGGGAATGCTCAATCAAAACCTGATCCGCATTTCATGTACAGGTGATGACGGACAATGGATTTCAGGGTGCACGAAGTCTCCATTGTAAATTCCATTCTGTCCACGAGTGGCAAATTCTTCGTCGCATTCCACAATCTCTGATATGCTCTCATGAGGATGTTCACGAGACCGTTGGTTGGATTGTAGACATGCTGGAGTTTGCTGTAGGTGTTCGCCGATTTGTTGGCGTCTCCGGTGATCGCATCGCATCGGTACAAGGTCACGAGCGGCATGATTTCGTTCTGAAGATCTTCTTTTGCTGCTCCATGACTAAGTGAAGGATGGATGTGGAAAACTCCAATGGTCGCGAATGGCAAGTCTGCCCTCGTGATGTGGCGGTCATCATACTCGTAGTTTGATTTGTCGGATGATTTCGGGATCATGCCACGAAACTCATCACTCTGCTCGATGTGGAGAACGACGATCTCCTTGTCTCGGCCATGTCCTTGGACAATGGTGCGTGCTGGCAATCTCGATCCAATGTACTTCTTGGATTCGGTAAACATGGATGTTCCTGTGGTTGCCAAGCAATCCGAGGTCGGAATTTCGTATTCGGGATCAGTGCCATCTTCTTTGGTTCCGAAGAAACATCTGAACATTCCGAATGTGGTTCCCCAATTCTGGCTCCTGGTGGAAATGTGTCTTGCCAGAAGTTCCACTCTTGCAGAGGGTCCGCCGCGGACAAAGCATGCGATCGGTCTGGATGACCATTGTTTGATCACAATGCCCTTGTAACCGTATCGGATGAACGTCTTGATGAGCTCCCTGGATTTCTCATCATTCGGACTGAAGAATGCGTCTGCCTCATTCAGGCATAAGATGTGTGCACTGTTCTGCATCATCATCTTGACGATCGGTCGATCCTTCATCGGCATGTTGTACACCTCCCTGTTGTCCAACTTTGGATTCCTTGTGAGGTTTCCATGGTTCAGGGTAAGGATGTTGATCCCTATGGATGAGGTGAACTCATGCATGTTGAGATAGTCCACGGAAGGACGGTCAGTCGGCTGCATCGGCGATCCCAGGATATCGGCATAGGCTCGGATGATTTTCGGGTCATCTTGTGACCTTAGCTTCTTCAGTCCAAGCGGCAGCTTGATCGGATATCCGGATCCTGGTTGAGCTTGCTTGTACTCGTCAATGGTGGGACATTCTCCTCGATGAGGGAAGTAGAATTCTTCTTCACCGAGATTGACATCAGGACATGTGCCAATGAGGCTCTCTCGCACTCTGTCAACTTGGGATGAGCTCCTTTCGGATCTTTGTTGAACTGGTTCATGAAGCGTTTGAGTTCTTCCTTGATCCCCGCGAGCTCTTCCTCTGCGTCCTTTTTGTTCTTATCTATTTCGAGATAGGTTCCCTTGAGTTCTTGGATGAACTCTTCTAGGATCTCTGAACTGTGATATTCCACGATGACCTTGGGCTTGACGGATCTTTCCCCGGAGGGTTCCATCATTTCTCCTTCGGTGGAGTCCTGATCGGTGGAATGCCGTCTCTTCTTGGTCTCTGAGGAGGTATCCTTTTCCTTGTTGTGCTTGGTGGAATTCACATACTTGAAGAAGGCATCGGCGAATTCGCGGATCTTGGTGTCATACATCTCGAAGTCTTCATAATCGAGGTGCTTCTTCATGATCCACTTGTTGCTCGCCCTGAGGCTGCCATCAGGTTCGAATGCTGCAACAATGTTTCTTGCCTCGATGGTTTTGTCTGTCAACGCTGTTCTCTCTTCGGAAAGGCGGATGCCATAGTCTTGGTCCTTGAGAAATGCAAGGATCAGCAACGCATCTCTTCCTGCTGGCACATGGGTCAATGCGGTTTCTGAATCGTCGTCTTCGAGGATGACGTCATCGATGCATGCCATGTGAACGTGCATTCTCCCCGAAGGGTTTGACTGGGACTTTCCAGATTTGAGCCCTTGCTCCATGATGCTGTAGAGCTGACTTCCATAGGTTGCATGGAACATGAAAGTGATGGGCTTCTTCGAGAACGGCTTGATCTTTCTCTCTTCTTCAACGGATGGTGGTGCCGGCCTTCGCATTCTGTACTTGGGCTGAGCTGTGCTTTCATCTCCATGAGGCGCCTCGGATCTTGACGGATGCGGACTTGGCGGAATGGATTCCGTTGGCAAATCGTAGTCCGGTTCGTCGTAATGAGGCTCCTTCTGCTCAGAGAACAGGGGTCGTCCAAAGGATTGGATATCGACTTGTCCTGTGTGTCCGCTGTTGCATCTCACATAGAACTCCATCTCAGGATCAACATAGAAGTCCTTGCCATCGGGCCTGAGTGCACTTTGTGCGGATCTGGTATTGAGCTTGTCGATCCATCGATTCCTTGGAACAATTTCTCCCCGTGCCTTGCGCTCTTTATAAGTCCCGCCCACGGATGGAAATACGAACGCAATTTCGAAACATGATTTTCCATAGCTCGGGAACATAGCCATCAAGAGAAGTCCTGGTTTGTTTCCAATGAAGTTCCTGGCATGTGTGATGCAGGTCAATGCGTCATAGAGCTCGACGGATCCATCAGGACCCATTTGCACCTGCCGTTTGCATTCCTTATGGATTCCATGCCTTGGATCATGTCGAAGACATCCGGAAAACGATCTGCTCATTCTCTCAATTCGCCAGAGGATGAGATCTGTGATCTGTTTCGCCTTGGATGTTTCAATGCGGAAATATTTGCAAACCTGTTCGACATTCTGGACGGTCTTATCGAGATCAATGTTGCCGTTGTGGAATACCATCGGGATGATGTCGGTTCCGTAAACTTCGGATTGAGCATTGCTGTAGCAGCAGATGCTGTAGACCTTCTTGATGAAGTCCATGTATTGCTTCTCTGCATGAGGTCCTTCACCTTGAGTCTCGGATGCCAGTAATCGTTGAATCTTGCCTGCAACCAGAATACCTTAACTCCATGCGGTCTCTCGTGTTCAGGAACGAAGTGGAAATCCGGATTGACATCAAGGATGGTTGGGCATTCCTTGTAGTACTCGTGCACAAAGGTCAGGAATTTTGAGTTTCCGAATGGTCCTGGGTGCACGGATTCCTTCTGGAGGCTGATGTCCGTATCCGATCCATATGTTACAAACCACCGATCGTTGGATGTGAGAACAGGCCGCATCACTGGTCGCCTTGGAAGCGCAGGTCGATCACCAGGATGATTGTCGGATTCCGTCTCGTCATCCAGGGTGTTCTTTGGTGCTGGCTTGACCTTGGAGACAAGCCTCAGTGTGGGTGGCGGTGACTTTGGAACAAGTTTCGGATGTGGCATCGCCTTTGACAGGACCCTTCCTTCGAGAGGATGCCCTTCTTCATCGGAATCATCGTCGTCGGAATCTGGATCATAATCAACCTGCTCCATGGGGCAATCGGATGTCTCATCTTCCTCATCACGAGCAGGGGATTCCTTCAATGGTGACGCCCGTCTCTTGATCATCGGCTTTGGCACAGGTGCCGCATCGCCGGATCGTCCAAACATCAGGT